TATGAGGTACTTGCACGTTGATATAAGATTGGGGGCAGCGGAGTAGAGTATTAATTAGTAAGAGTTAAAAAATAGATAAGCTCGTAATTGCATGTTTATATTAGGCAGAATTTTTTAGGAAATATATGATATTACTTATAACATTACTGACATCGTAAATATTCGGTATGCTATTAATTGCATGATAAACATGGTGAGCCATTGCCACTGAAGAAATTTAGGTCGTTGGGTCCACGTGATTTGAAGGCCGAGATTACTTGGATATGCCCCTTCCGATCTTTTTATCTTAGTATACTAGTAAATGCGTACGTGCATCACGTTCATAATTTGGAGAATATTTTTTATAGATATTTGGTAGAATATTAATCGCATGTTGATATTAGGTAATATATTAACTGCATTATAATTATGAGATTTTTTCCTGATATTGATATTTTGTATAATATTTATTACTTCCTCCGTTCCTCAATATAAGTCCTTTTAGAGATTTCAATAAGCACTACATACAGATGTATATAGATATATTTTAGAGTCTATATGCATTCATTTTGCTCCGTATGTAGTACACATTTAGGAAGGGTGGTGGTAGTGGGAGGTCAGAAAAAAACCAGACAAAAAAAACCAGCGAAGGTGGGGGTGGGAGGAAGGATGAAAAGAAACCAGGAGAGGTGGGACGAAAATTAACCGCAGAGACTACCAACTGAGACATTAGAGCATCCACAGTGTGGTCTTTTTCCGCCTCTAAGATTGCCTCTAAGGTCTTGGAGGCTGACGCTATACATTGCAGTCCTGGCCTCTAACAAAAAAATCGTTGGCGTCGCCTCTAAGGTAAGAGGCAGCCTCCATTCACTTAAAAAATTCAAAAGAATCAACTCTTTGCATGGCTGGGTTCTTTCACACTTGTGAGCAGCTCTAAAGTCATGGAGGAATTACTTGTTTACTTGTTGACTGGGTCCCAGCTTAGAGGCACTAGGAGATGCTATACACTACGTCATTTTCAGCTGAGCTTAGAGGCTTCGTGTGGGTCCCGGCTTAGAGGCAACGCCGCCTCCAACACACTGCTGATGCCCTTAGGAGTAGAGATTTATTGGATCCACATGATTTGATGAACGAGATTATTCGGATCACCCTCTTTGAGTCTTTTTTATCTTGGTATACTAGTAAACGCTTACGTGGAATGCACGTTAATATTTGGAGAGTATTTTCTAGTGATATTTGGTATAATATTAATTGCACGTTGATATTATGCAATATATTAATTGCACGGTAATATTATGGGATTTTCTTTGATATTAATATTTTTTATAATATTTATTGTGTGCTAAACATTTTGAGCGCTCGCCATTGAATCAATCTTTGTCATTGGATTGACATGAATTGTTCGCTGAGATTAGTTCGGTCCGCCCTTTGAGTTTTTTTATATATTGATGTAGATATAGATAGATAGATGTAGGAACTATTATATACTTTTTAACTACAAATTAGAGGAAAGATATCATCTTTGCGAGTAAACTAGGAAAGATATTATAGTGTCCCGAAGGCAAATGCAGGAAGAATAAAAAATCTACGGAAACACTAACGCCCACACGTGTGGGCGTTTGCATCTCACCCACACGCGTGGATCCGCGTCCGTTTGTGGATGCACGAATCTTGGCATGTTTGTGGTGCCACGTAGGACTGGGCTAGTGTGTGGGCATTCATCCAGTCGCCCACATGTCCGTTTTACCACACGGAGGGCCCGGTGTGTGGGCGTTTAGCAGTTCACCCACACGCCAGTTTTCACTCACGCACAAGGGTTGGTGTGTGGGCATTTGCCATCTCGCCCATACGCCCGTCTTCTCCCCCACACCCAAACTGCCAGTTGCCATGCGTTTTGCAGTGTATATGGCAACTGCCCTAGTGTGCTTGTAAGCAGATGACAACTCTCTCTTTTTTTTACCCGAACATGTCAGTTGCCATGTGTTTTTGTAGGGTACACGGCAACTGCCCTAGTGTGCTTGTAAGCAGACGGCAACTCTCTCTTTTACTCGAACATGTTGTTTTGCCATGTCTCTTTGTAGCGCTACACGGCAACTGCCTAGTGTTAGTAGGTGGCAACTCCTAAGGTTTTCAAATCATGGCAACTGTAGTAAATCAGACCATATATGGCAACTGCTTAGTGTTAGTAGGTGGCAACCTCTAAAATTTTCAAATCATGGCAACTATAGTAAACCAGACCATACATGGCAACAGCTGCAATTGTCCAAAATGGCATCCGGCACTTGACCTGAGATGGTAACTGCAGTTGAGCAACCATGGCAACTGTAGTTGTGCAACATGACAACTGTAGTTCAGCGACATGGCAACTGCAGTTAAACGGACATTGAAGAGGGTCCGGACCATGGCAACTGCAGGGACGCGTGGTGACTGTCACGCGGGGCGTGCGAGGCTGTGAGGTAGGTGGCTGAGAGGTCGTGTGGGCATTATGCATTTTGCCCACACGTAGGCGTGTGAGAGGGACCGCAAGGAAAAAAAGAGACGTGTGGACGCTAGTGTTTTGCCCACACGAAGGCGTGTGGGCTGGTCCTCTTAGACACCACACAAAACGTGTGGGCAGACCCCTTAACGCTCACACGTGTGGCAGTTATCGTCGTCCGAAATCTAATTAATGTTATATATATTTTTGACAGCATTTAATGTTATACTAATCAATCTTAGAGTGTTTAGCTTTGTATTTTCGTGAGGATAAAAAAAATCTTACTGCTTGTCTATATTTTTTGCAGTGTCGAAGTTACCCTCAGATGATCGACGGCTAGAATTAAATTACGTAGGAGGGTGCATCTCAAAATTTCCGAAATCACAAGCCCTGCCCACATGGCCACACCTTTGCCTATTCTGGCACCTCTCTCCTTTCCCCTACGCGCTTGGGAGTGGACGCGGCAGCAGCCCACAAGAGTTTCTCAAAAAAAAAAAAAGTAGTAGAACAAGAAGCAGCAGCAGCAGCCCAAGAATAGCGACATGAGCCGGCCGGCCTCCACCTCACCTTCCGCTGCCCCCAATTCTCCACCGTCTTCTCACCTCCAAGGAAAGGTCCGGTCGCCATCAATCCACGGGCGTGCTTAATATAATCCGATCAAACAGGAGTGCTACTAAGAGCATGCTTGGATACGTTTTAGTCCCATGACTAAAAATAATGGGACTAAAACTTGCTAGTCTCACCCATGCTTGGATCCAAATACTAAAGAGACTAAAATCTAGTTATTGAGCATTTATTATCCTCCAAACCCTCCAATCCAGAACTAAGAAGAGGAATTAAATGAGATGAGAGAGAGCTAATACATATTTTAGTAGGTTTCCCATGACTAAAAGATTTTAGCCTCAAGACTAGTCCTAACCTCTTTTTAGTCAGGGGTGCTTGGAACTTTAGCCTCTAAAATAGACTATTTTTAGTCAGACTAAAAATAATCCCTTGTATCCAAGCACCCTCTAACTAAAAGAGAAATCAGAAACGGCGATCGGGCCAAGAAACCAGCTGCAGCCCTACTCCTTTCACGTGTCGTCATCTTTGTTTGACCGCTACTAATCCGGGGAGACGCTAGCGGAGACGAGGGGACGATCAGCGGCGGCTGCCCCTATGCCTCCCCTCCCCTCCCCTCCCCCACCCCCGCTGCTATATAACTGGGGCCTCCCTCCTCCAGATTTCAGAATCCCACCCAACATCCTCCCCCACCCTCCAGCAAGTTCTTTCTCTCTCTTCCTCACATCCTCCCCCACCCTCCCTGCTCGAGATGGACCCCGCCGTGGAGCGCCTCAAGACCGGCTTCGAGAAGTTCAAGACCGAGGTCTACGAGTAAGTTCCCATCTTTCCTCTAACAGGACGAAATCCTCCTCCTCGATCATGATCTGGTTCGATTTTCTTGAGATTATCCAGTTCTGCTTTCTTAACCTGGTTATTCTCTCGCCATGGCAGCCAGAAGCCGGATCTCTTCGAGCCCCTCAAGGCCCACCAGTCACCCAAGGTATGCACACATACACACACTCTGATTCTCTCTTGCTGGCAACGAACTCTTGGTTGCTTGTTCCGCCGTTCGGCGTCCGATCGTGGACAAAGTCCGCCGCGGGTTTGGGGTCGGGTGCCCATAGCATTCCCTGTCACGGTCAAAGTATATTAGATTAAGAAATGAAAACGGCTGTTTTGTCCTAATTGAACGCGCCATTGCCGGCCACTTGATACTAGGATACGTACTGTGAAACCAACTAGCAAGAGGGAGAATCCTATGATGCAATACAATCTTGGAATCAACTTCCTACTTAACGCCCACCGGTCATGAACCTCCAAGAAATTGGATCATGCATGCTGACATGCTGTGCTAGCTAACGACACCCACGGGTATTGTCATGATATATGATTTGGCTTATTGAGATGTCACCGTCCTTATCTCTTTGTGTGTTTGTGTCTTGTGGACAATGGATATAAGGAATATGGTTCTTTTCTTTCCTCCCTCCTTTTCCTGTTATAAAGGAGGAATAGCTGCTAGCTAGGATAACTTATTCCTTAAGAATCTTGCAAGTAGTACAATTTCTCCCCCTCTCTGAGATTCTCAATTGGCATGCTTGCTAATGCCATGGTGGGTTGTTGACGTTCCCCTTGATAAAAATTGGACCAGCAACCGCCGTGTTGAATTTCCGGTCCCTCGTCTCTTATTTTCTTCCTAGAAAATAGCCGCCGCTCTGCGCTATCACATATGAACATAATTTTTTTTATGATGTTCACTTTGGAACCTTCACCATCTTGGCACCGGCCGGCCGCGTCAGACCGCACAGACAAGAACCGTGAACAGGGCAAAAAGCCATCCATGGCTGTGGCCCTGCTGCTCTGCGTACATAATTAACCAGGCCCTACCCTTCCAAGGAAGTGCTATCAATCTGAGGAGAACTTGTAGACAGTGGTGGTCCTGTCTTCCATTCTTGATAACTCACAGAAAGGCATGGCTGACAGATGATCAATCGTCCGTCGGGTCTGCTGTCATGGGTCATAATCAAGTCTTTATTCGGTAGTTTGGTGCTGTGGTCGAGCGACGGAAGAACCTTGCCGCTACATGCTTTGCCTGCCTTTCTGTTTCCCGTGCGTCTGTCTATCCTCTACTCTTCAGGTCCATGTTGCAAAAGCAAAATTTATTTCTGGTTTTCTCCCGCCGGACCGAATAAAAAGCCGTCAGGCACAGTATGTCAAAAGTGGCAGTGCTGTTTCATAAACGTGCACTCCACCTACACGCCATTTCGGCATCAGCATATGTGCTTGTTTGCTTCTCCCTGCTGGCTAATGCGGCTAAGCCATAATAGAATAGCGTATCTGCTTATCAGCAGAAACTGTGAAATGTTCTCATATTTTGGTGTCTTTTCTAGAAAAAAGTAACTGAAATATTGAGTAAAGTAAAATAAAATAAACTATGAAATGTTGTCAACTAAAAGGATTCGGTTGTGCAGTACATGGTGTTCGCGTGCGCTGACTCACGCGTGTGCCCGTCGGTGACCCTGGGTCTGGAGCCTGGTGAGGCCTTCACGGTCCGCAACATCGCTGCCATGGTCCCGTGCTACTGCAAGAACAAGCACACTGGTGTCGGGTCGGCCATCGAGTACGCCGTCTGCGCCCTCAAGGTTGAGGTCATCGTGGTGATCGGCCACAGCCGCTGTGGCGGGATCAAGGCCCTGCTCAACCTCAAGGATGGCGCCGACGACACCTTGTAAGTTCGTAGAGTGAAACACAGGCTCAAATCTGAATGAACCTTTATTTGGTTATCTCTTTCTGACTGGAGCTGCTCGGTTGGTGTCTATCAGCCACTTCGTCGAGGACTGGGTGAGGATCGGGTTCCCAGCCAGGAAGAAGGTCAAGGATGAGTGCTCAGAAATGTCTCCCGAGGAGCAGTGCGGCGTCTTGGAAAAGGTTCGCTCTTTCGCACCATTTGCCATCTACCATTTCTCGTTGCTTCCACAATTGTAGATGTGAATGAGTTGATTAACTTGTTGACAAAGAGATGATATGTTTCTGAAACGTTCGTTCTCGTTTCTGCAGGAGGCCGTCAACGTGTCCCTCCAGAATCTGAACACCTACCCGTTCGTCAAGGAGGCTGTGGCCAACGGAACCCTCAAGCTGGTCGGCGGCCACTACGACTTTGTCTCCGGCAAGTTCGACACATGGGCGCTGTAAATAATCTCGCAACCCATCGCTCATCTCCTACATATATCATATCAAATATACTGTGGGACCGATCCATCGATGTGAACGCCATGGAGCATGCACCTGCTCGTTATTTTCCAGCAGTAGTGAACGCCGGATGGCCAGATGTCAATTTTGTAATAAGGGATCAAATCTGTCGACGCGGAACTATTGTAAAAATTATTACTATGTGATGCATAATTTGATCGCCATGTGATCAAAAGACATCAGATGCAATTTCATTAATATCTTCATCAAGTGTTTACCTTCTTATTACCTTCTGCTCTTATGTTTTAGTTTTCCCTATGTTGTGTCGCACTAGCTTAGCTGTTTCTTCCCGCAAAAAAAAAAAACTTAGCTGTTTCAGACTTAAATTCGACGAACAAATGATCGTTTTGGACCGTGGACCATCCCATCTGTGCATGCACATGCCTATATAGTATAAACGGTACATTGATATGGTAGTACGGACTACCTATCAGTCCTTCACTCTTAAGCTTTTGTCTTCCCTATGGTGTGTGGCACTGGCTACTGTTTGAAACTGTCATTCTTAGATGTACACAAGAGTTGCTCGAAAATCATAATCAAAATTGCTAACACTGCTGTAAACCGACTGGAAGCTTTGTGGTCTTGCTTGACTAATGACATCGATCGACATTGAAAAATGATGGGCGGTGTTTTGCATGTGTTGGAACTATTCTGTTTTTTTTTTCAAAAGGGATGGCGTGTCTTGGCAAATTTCATTGGTGCCTCACAGCTGGTGGTAGTTCTATGGGATTTAGTTAGTCATGTGACATACCAGGGCTCGCAGAAAATGATTTACCTAGGTTCCCCCCTAGTCGCTGGTAATAGCCCTACTCCCGCCTTGATTGATCTGTTGAGAATAAACCTAGCCATGAATACCTAGACCCGAAAGCTCAGTGTGCAGGCTAGGTTCGGGCCTTGTTTTTCACCAAGAGCTCAGCTCGAAGGCACGAAAAAGTTTGAAATTGGCGATATTTGCTACTCTATCTGTCCCAAAATGTAAGGTGCATTTTTTTTTTCTTTAGAAAGTCAAACATTTCTATGTTTGACCAAGATTATAAAATATTTTTTTATGGGAAAACTTTTGATCTATTCATTTTTAATCATGGCAGTATAACAAACACCAAAAATATTAACATTACATCTAGATTCATGGACCACCTAACAACGACTACAAGCACTGAGCGAGCCGAAGGTGCGCCGCCGTCATCGCCGTCCATCGTCGGAGTCGGGCACAACTTGTGCTAGACAGTTGGGAAGTCGTCGTGCTAAGTCCCCATAGAACCAGCGCACCAGAACAGCCTCCGCCGATGAAGAGTAACGTAGATTTGAAGAATCCAACTTGAAGACACACAAACGTAGACGAAGTTAGCACGTTATCCCACAAACAACCATCTGGGCAAGGATGGACGCCACTTGCTTTTGTTATATCCTTTGGAAGGCAATTTGTATTCTTACCTATCTAAGGTTTATTTGGTTACATTGCATGAGTTGGATCTTGGTTGAAAGACCCTATATATATACCACATAGATGAATCTTTTATACCTTTTTATTATTTTTAATATACTTCATTAGTAATTATTAGATACCTCAAAATGAGTTTCATGAAAAAATTCATGTGAGTCTATGTATTTTTAACCTCATGAAAAAATTATTAGATACCTTTTTATATATATAGTGTTACTATTCGTCATCCAGGGTGCAGAATAAATTATTTTTCACCCGAAGTAATCTTACGGTCGCTTCCTAAATAAATTATGTTTACAATATAAATAGTTACATGCATATTGATTCAATATGTAAAATTTGATAAAAATAATAAAATTAGGTTATAAGACCAGAAAAATCATATTTTATGTATGTTTTACACTATGTTTTTACATTCGTAATTTTACGTAATATAAAATATTTTTTACGACGAGTATATATTTTCTTACGTTCTTTTCTTATATATGAAATAAGACAAAATTTACGAAACGTAAAAATACATTGCATTGATGGTAAAATAGAGGGGGTGAAGAATAACTATTCCTCATCTAGGGTGACAAATAGCGCGACC